GGGCATGGGATCTGGTGAGAAACCTCCTTCCCAGCTTTGCCATTGAAACCACAGATTTTAAATTTGGGCAGCGTTTCCAAGCTTTTGTTTCCCATCTATCAATGGGCATAATAGTAATAACATAACTGTATGACCTTGTTCACAAGTTTACTGTCAAGGTCAAATAAGACAAGCAAAGTACTTTGTAGATTCAGTATTATACTAGTTAAGAAGAAAGACTGGAGCCAAATGGCCTGGATTAAGTCCCTGCACCTCCCTCCGCTCCACTATGCACTTCTTGGGTGACCTTGGGAACGTTATTTAATCTCCCCATAACTCAGTTTCTTCCTTTACAAAATAAGAATGAGACTAGGACTATGGCCAGGCGAGATGGCTCAGGCCTGTAATCCCAGCACTTTGGGAGGCTGAGGTGGGCGGATCACGAGGTCCTGAGACCAGCCTGGCCAGCATGGTGAAACCCCATCTCTACTAAAAATGTGAAAATTAGTCAGGTGTGGCAGCAGGCGCTTGTAATCCCAGCTACTCAGGAGGCTGAGGGAGGAGAATCGCTTGAATCTGGGAGGTGGAGGTTGCAGTGAGCCGAGACTGCACCGGTGCACTCCAGCCTGGGCAACAGAGCAAGACTCTGTATGGAAAAAAAAAAAAAAAAAAAAAAGAAGGAGACTAGGACTTCCATCATATCATTATGAGGATTCAAATGAGTTAAATGTAAAGCACTCAGGCCAGGCATGGTGGCTCAGGCCTGTAATCCCAGCACTTCAGGAGGATGAGGCAGGAGGATTGCCTGAGCCCAGGAGTTCAAGACAAGCTGGCCAACATAGTCAGACCCCACCTCTACAAAAAAATTAAACAAGTATCCAGGCGTGGTGGCATGTGCCTGTGGTCCCAGCTACTCAGAGGCTGAATTACAAGGATTGCTTGAGCCCGGGAGGTTGAGGCTGCAGTGAGCTGTGATGGCACCAGTGCACTCCAGCCTGAGCAACACAGAGAGACCTTGTCTCAAATCAATAAATAAAGCACTCAGAAGAGAACCTAGTGCGTAGTTAGGATCATAGTATATACATTGAGCCATCACTATTATTGTTGTAAAGTCCACACAGGATGATTATGATGATCACTTCTTAGATACAGAAGCAGAGTTCCACTGTGTCTATATAGAAAGAAACACTATAGGAAGCACTGAGTTGTGCCCTGAACTTCTAGTCCAGGCTTTAAAAAAGAGCCATAAAGGCCGGGCGCGGTGGCTCAAGCCTGTAATCCCAGCACTTTGGGAGGCTGAGGCGGGTGGATCACGAGGTCAAGAGATCAAGACCATCCTGGTCAACATGGTGAAACCCCGTCTCTACTAAAACTACAAAAAATTAGCTGGGCATGGCGGCGCATGCCTGTAGTCCCAGCTACTCAGGAGGCTGAGGCAGGAGAATTGCCTGAACCCGGGAGGCGGAGGTTGCAGTGAGCTGAGATCGCGCCATTGCACTCCAGCCTGGGTAACAAGAGCAAAACTCCGTCTCAAAAAAAAAAAAAAAAAAAAAAAAAAGAGCCATAAAAATGCCATCCCACTGATAAAGGTCTGGGGCAAGGGAGGCGTGCCTTAACCATCCTGGAAAAACGCCACCTCCATCCTACCCATACTTATCTCCTTGGCTGGCTTCTGGCCAAAGGCCCACCATTAGTCTGATCATATTGCACTCAGAGCTTTGCCATGCATGTCCCTGTACTAAGGGGCTCTGGCTGGCTGGGGTTTGAAGGGGCAGCGGAGGATGCTGTTTACTGGCCTGAAATGTGGGACCAGTGTGGAGAGGGCAAGACAGGCTAGGTTAACCTCAGATGTAGGCTTCTTATTTTTATTTTTTGAGACACGGTCTTGCTCTGTCGCCCAGGCTTGAAGGTTCGAGTGCATCATAACTTACTGCAGCCTTGAACTCCAGGGCTCAAGCGATCCTCCTGCCGCAGCCTCTCAAGTAGCTGTGACTATAGGTGCGTGCCACCACGCACAGCTAATTAGAAAACATTTTCCAATAGAGATGGGGTCTCGCTATACTGCCCAGGCTGGTCTCAAACTCCTGGGCTCAAGTGATTCTCCCGCCTTGGCCTCCCAAAGTGCTAGGATTATAGGCATGAGTCACTGGGACTGGCCAGATGTGGGCATTTTTCCTTTTGCGTGGAAGACTCAAGAATTGGATTCTAGGGCTGGGCACGGTGGCTCATGCCTATAGTCCCAGCACTTTGGGAGGCTGAGGCAGGTGGATCGCTTAAGACCAGGAGTTTGTGACCAGCCTGGCCAACATGGCAAAACCCCATCTCTACTAAGAATACAAAAATGAGCCAGGCGTGGTGGCACACAACTGTAATCCCAGCTACTCGGGTGGCCGAGGCAGGAGAATCGCTTGAACCTAGGAGGCAGAGACTGTGAGTGAGCCAAGATCGCACCACTGCACTACAGCCTGGGTGGCAAAGCGAGACCCTGTCTCAAAAAAAAAAAAAAAAAAAAAAAAAATTGGATTCTAGATCAGAAAGTTGTATTACAGAACTTTGGGGTGCTATGAGATTCCTTCTTCTTCTTTTTTTTAATTGAGGCAGAGTCTTGGTCTGTTGCCCAGGCTGGAGTGCAGTGGTGCAAATCTCGGCTCACGGCAACCTCTGCCTCCTGTGTTCAAGCGATTCTCCTGTCTCAGCCTACGGAGTAGCTGGGACTACAGGCGCGTGCCACAAGGCCCAGATAATTTTTGTATTTTTGGTAGAGATGGTTTTTCACCATGTTGGCCAAGCTTATCTTGAACTCCTGGCCTCAAGTGATCTGCCCGCCCCGGCCTCCCAAAATGCTGGGATTACAGGCGTGAGCCACCACGCCTGGCCGAGATTCTTTCTTCTTTCTTGCCTTAAATCAGCCTGAACGAGTCCAGTTGTTGACAGTGTGCAATGGCCCCTCACATGGTTTCTTCTGCTCCTCATGGCCACCCTACGCTGCAGGTGTTGGTATCAGTGTCCCCAGATGACAGGACTGACGCATGAAGAAATGTGGCAACTTTCTAGAGGTCATCTGGCTTTGTCACTGAAGGAACCAGGATTCCTTTTAAATTTTTATTTATTTGATTTGAGGCAAGATCTCATTCTGTCACCTAGGCTGGAGTGCAACGGTGTGATCTCAGCTCACCGCGGCCTTGACCTACTGAGCTCAAGGAATCCTCTCACCTCAGCCTCCCGAGCAGCTGAGACTATAGGCATGCGCCACCACACCCAGTTAATTTTTGAAATTTTTGTAGAGACAGGGTTTCACCATGTTGCCCAGGTTGGTCTTGAACTTCTAAGCTCAAGCAATCCTCCTGCCTCAGCCTCCCAAAGTGCTGGGATTACAGGCATGAACACTGTGCCCTGCCTGAAGGAACCAGGATTCAAACTGTGCCTCTCACTTCTAGTCCCTTCTGCTACAAAATCATCAACTCATCCCCAGCAGGCTGAGCAAATCTGCGTCCTCAGGTGAAGGAGCCGCCCTGAGCCCTCTGCCAAATGGAAGGAAGAGCCCTGAGTTCCAGAGCCTGGGTAGGGTTAGGGGAGGGGTCGTAATGAGGATGCTGGCATCTCAGGTGCTCAGCTAGTCTTCCCCAATGAAACAATTCTAACAATACAAATATTAATATGGGCCTGGCCTTATACATCTGAAAAGACTGTCCTTAGTTCCACAGTGTTTTTTTATACCAAGGATGAGGAAATGAGAGGAGAAGAAGAGGTGGTTTCAAAGGCTGTCCCATGAGGCCCAACTTGGAGAGAGAAGGTTGGCTAGGTAAAGATAATTCCTGTTCATGTTCTCCCAGGGGGAGAATGAATTCGATTCTGTTTGGGATTTCTGTGTCTTCGCCTGAGAAATTCTGGGTCCTTGCAGACATGGAGATGATGTATCCCAGTGGATGTGTGTTGAGGAATCCATTTGTAGGCATAATAGTGCGAAACAGTGGTTATGTACGGGCTGATATGCAGCCGAGGAATAGTTGAAAAATGGGTGAATCAGAAATGAAATACAATCATATTTTCATATGGTTTCTAGCTCTCCTCTCTTTTGCCTGAAATATCTTGACCTCATTCTGGCTGTCTCACTACTAAACAGGCAAATTTATTTTTAGCAAGGCTGCTTCTTTTAAGACTGTGCATCCATCTCCTGGACAAATTTGGAATAGCAAGAAATTTGTTAGGGATTAAGGAAAGGGGCTTTTCCAGGCGTCAGCCACTTAGAGCTGGCCGCTTCTGAGCATGTTCGGTCTTCCCAGGCCTGGCTCACATTTTTCAGTACTTAACGTGCCTGGTGCATTGTACGCAATCTTACTTAATTCTTCCCTCAGCCTTTGAGAGTTAAGGACAAACTGTTACGCCAATTTTACAGGTGAGGAAATCAGAGCTTATGTAAATAAATTCCCGAGGTCACACAACTAGTAAGTGACAAATCTCAGTCAAACAGAGGCTCTTTTGGGCCAAAGGCATTGAGCCACTACTCTGCTCTGCAGGGACAGAACTAAGTATGCTTCTATTCAGGGGATTCACAGTCATTCCATGAGCAAGTTATACAATGTAAGCTAAGAACACCGTGAAAATCAAAACCATACTGTGAATCATGCACTTTATAATAAAGTACTGGAAACAGAGTATTTGGTAAATTGTAGCTATAATAGTAATCTCACACATATCCATAAATCACACTTATTAATATATTCTGTTTCACCTGGGCTTTGCCAAGCTTCCCTCATTTGTGTTAGGTCATCTTGGTTTTCGTTTCTTCCCAGTTCTCTGCCCTTTGAACTGTCTTCAAAACTTCCCTAGAATCATTTGCTGCCCTAGAAATTAGATTAGACAGACACCTGCTCACATCACACATCCCCTGCCCTTGTCGCCATACATACACACACCCACCTTCTGGGCTGTCCATTCTCTTCCAGAAAGTCTGCATGGGAAGCTGAGGCAGAACCAAGTCCATCAGACTCTGAGGAAAGAGAAATATGGACCCTGTAACCAGATAAAAGTGAAGCCAGGACTTCATTTATTCCACAAACACTTTTTTTACTACCTATAGGTAGCAGGCATTGTTCAAGGCATGAAGTTCCCACGGTGAACGAGAGACAAAAACGTCTGCCTTCCTGAGTTAATATCACAGTGGAAGGAAAGAGACAACAAAAAATAAGTAAAACATAGACATTAGTATGTAGATGGCGATAAATAAGGAGAGATACAAAACATAAGACAGATTGGAAGTGGCAACACTGGGGAGGTAGAATTGGCGTCTACATTTAACCCCAGATTTTTCTAACAACAAATCCAGGGTGGGGCACAGAGCAGAGACAAAATGAGGCCCCATGTTCAGCGCCCCCAGCCCCGCGTCGGTGGGTTCACTGTTCATTTTGGAACACTGCCCTTTGGACCAACATATTCTTAGTACTCTTTGTGAAGGTTTCCGCCCTAATTCCCTCAGCCTCACCAGGCAATATTCATCCCCCCACAGAAAACTCCGGAGGGAACGCGGAGAAAGTGTGAATCAGTCCAAGACTAAGGGTGCCAGAATGTTCGATCAGCTCTGCCTCAGCCCTGACATTACAGATTCCCTGATCGCCACCGCCGCAGAAGCTCTGAGTTAGAAGCGTGCATGTAGCTGCACATCCATTGCTGGCATTTCTTCCGTCAGCCTCCGCTGGAACTGGCTAGTGAGGACCCCTCCATTTCACAAGACAGCTTCGGTGTTGTGAGCGGTCCACCTGCCCCGACTTCCCCACCCCGAAGCTGTAGCAGCGGTTTGTTTTCTCACGGGACAGGGACGGCTTCCGGGGCGCGGCGTGCTGGGGGTTGTAGTCCGCACTTTCCCGCCTGATTCTATTATAGAGCCGAGAGCTGGGGAACCACAACTCCCAGAGCACCCCGCGCCGCCGCGCGTCTGCGGGGCGGGGCGGGGCGAGCGCGAAAGATGTCCGCACCGTTGTGGGGCGGCCGGCTGAGAGTCTTTGTTCGTAGCCAGGATCCCACTGCTGAGGCAGTTCCTGCACGTGTCGCGGGGCCGGAGAAGCTAGGGCCAGGTAGTTCAGGGATGCAAGAATCCTGCAAATCCGATGTGTAAACTGCTTCCCCAGCCGCCAGGCGAGCCCAGCCTTTGCCTCAGGCCCCTTCCTTTTCTTTCTCCGGGAATCGATCTCGGGAGGGGGTGTGGGCAAGGAGATGAAGACTTTCCCTCTTCGCTCAGGCCAACTTGGCATATCCCGGAGCCTCCGGAGAGGCGGTCACTCCGACGTCTGAGGAGCTGGGCCCTGGGCCGGGACTAGTAATGAAGAGCGACTCCTCCATCTCTGCAGGCCCCCTCCGGGGGCTCGGGGGGCCCCTGCGCAGCAGCGAGCCGGTGCGCGCCGCCCGGGCCCGGGCACCGGCGGTGGACCTGCTGGAGGAGGCGGCCGACCTCTTGGTAGTGCACCTGGACTTTCGGGCGGCGCTGGAGACCTGCGAACGGGCCTGGCAGAGTCTGGCCAACCACGCCCTGGCAGAGGAACCCGCGGGCACGTACGTGCTGGGCTCGGAAAGGAACCCATTTCCGGGTGCTCTTGGGGTGGGGCTCAAGGTCTCAGGGGTTCTGTCATTCCCAGATTGCTCATAAGGAGCTTTATCAGTGGTTTCTCTCAGAGAGGGTGTTTGCTCATCGTGTGCCCATTCTACAGAATAAGGAAGTCGAGTAACAAGAGCTTAGCAGGGAACCCACAGCCAATTCTTTGCTCCTTGTTCCAGGGCAGAATGACATGATGGGAAGGCTGAATGTGTATTAAGTGTTAAACTCTGTCAGTAAGCAGGTGGTGAAAGCCCTCTCCTAGGTAACTGCCTTCCCACCAGGTTGTTTACTCCTGACTTTGGCTGATGATGGGGAATGGGGATCGTGGCAGGAACAGTGTGCTCGTCCCATTGGAGGACTGGATTAAAGAATGAATTCAGGGCCAGGCGCGGGGGTTTACGCCTGTAATCCCAACAGTTAGGGAGGCCGAGGCAGGAGGATTGATTGAGCTCAGGAGTTTGAGACCAGCCTGGGTAACATAACGAGCCCCCTTCTCTACCAAAAAGAAGAGAAAAAAAGAATCTGGAGGAAAAAACCTTGGGCCTGCATTGCTCTTTCTAATGCCACCAGCCTTATATGGCAGGTGAGGGCGTCATTTCTCTGCATTGTAAAATTGGATTAGGCCATACTAGGGAGGCGGTAGGTAGAATACTTAAAGCTGACCGCAGAGAAGGATGAACTGGAGAGCTCTGGCTGTGCTTAAGGGGGCTGGGTGGGAGCTCATTTCAGTGAATGTGGAAGGCTTTGCTTCTGGGTGTCTGGAGGAACCTTACTAGGTGGTGCTGAGGCCAGGTGTGGAGTTCCTATACCTCCACTCATTCAGAATGCTCCAAGCCCATTTATTCACTGAGCAAACTCAGTTCCAGCTTTTTTCACCCACACACTGGTGCTGTGTGTTATTTGCCCCTCAGGATTACCGTTCCTCTTCATTTAAGTCTGATTTCACCTGGATACAAAGATGAACATTGAGCAATTCAGCTGACTTGCCTCTTAAAATGTTTACACGAACTTTTCGTGCCTGGGCGAAAAGGCAGCCCATGAGACCAATTGTGAAGCCCATCTAAATACTAACGGGATGAGGGACATGATGGCTGCTGAGTTGGGAGCTGGTGGAGGTGGGAATGGAAATGGAAATGGAGGGGAACCACTTCTAACTGAAATTGGTTTTTCTGCTGACAGCTCCTTGGAAGTGAAGTGCTCCCTGTGTGTTGTGGGGATCCAGGCCCTGGCAGAAATGGATCGGTGGCAAGAAGTCCTCTCCTGGGTTCTTCAGTATTACCAAGTTCCTGAAAAGCTACCCCCCAAAGTCCTAGAACTGTGGTAAGTCAGTCTCCTTTGCTGACTCATCAGATCGGCTCAGAAACAAGGGGATATTCATCTCCTCTCCTAAATCTGGGCCTAATAGCTCCTCTTTTCCCCTTACCTACCATTTCCCTCCAAATCTCATTCTTTCCCTTCACTTTTTTCCCCCCCAGCCCTCCATACATAGCAATAAAGGATAAGGGAGGAGAATTTAGGAGTAGAATAGATGTAAAGAAGGAAGGGGACAGGGAATAGGAGTGACATGGGATGACAGAGTGGGCAGAGCTGAAAGAGCAGCTTGCTGCTTCCTAGGAATTCCTAATTCTTATATAAAAAAAAAAAAAAAAGGGCTGTGCACAGTGGCCCACACCTGTAATCCCAGCACTTTGGAAGGCCAAGGCAGGCAAATCACGAAGTCAGGAGATCGAGACCAGCCTGGCTAACATGGTGACACTCCATCTCTCCTAAAAATACAAAAAAAAATAAGCTGGATGTGGTGGCATGCACCTGTAATCTCAGCTACTTGAGAGGCTGAGGCAGGAGAATCACTTGAACCTGGGAAGCGGAGGTTGCAGTGAGCCAAGATCGCACCACTGCACTGCAGCCTGGGTGACAGTGTGAGACTCTGTTTCAAAAAAAAATTTTTGTTTTAAATTGACACTTGTACATATTTATAGGGTAAATTTCACATTTCAATATATACCATATGTATGTTGTATAATGATCAAATCAGGGTAGTTAGCATATCCATCACCTCATGCATTTATCATTTGTTTGTGGCAAGAACATTTAGAAGCCTCTCTTCCGGCTATTTTGTAATATACAGTCCCTTGCTGTTGACCATACCGCCTTACTGTGCAATAGAACACCACACCTTACTCCTTCTGCCCCATTGTGAGTTTGTACCCAGTGACCAACCTCTTTCCGTCTTCCTTTTCTTCTTTCTTTCCCCAGTCTCTGGTAACCACTGTTCTACTCCCTGCTTCTATGAAATCAACTTTTTTTTTTTTTATTAAAGATTTCATATGAGTGAAATCATGTAGTATTTATCTTTCTGTGGCTGGCTTATTTCACTTAATGTGATGGCTCCAGGGTCCACCTGTATTGTCATGAATGATAAGATTTTATTCTTCTTTATGGCTATATAGTATTCCATTTGTGTGTGTGTGTGTGTGTGTGTGTGTGTGTGTATTATATGCACACATTTTCTGTATTCATCTGCTGTTGGATACTTAGGTTGATTTCATGTCTTGGCTGTTGTGAATAGTGCTCATTAAACATGGGAGATAATGGATTGCTAGATCATGTGATGGTTCTATTTTTATTTTTTCACCTGGGCATTCTTGAGTTTATTTTGATGACAGCCTGCGAAAGTTCTCTGTACCTGGAAGAAGGTATTGGGACTCTTGGTGTTGGAGTGTGGCTTGTGCAGAAGATGCAAGACCTGGTGGGGCAGCAGGAATGTGACCTTGGAATTGTGGAACTGCTTGTGGCACTCTGATCTTTGATGGAGGTGGCTGCAATCACCTCCACCTTCATGATCTGGATGGCGTAGGCCCGGGTCACGGTGCTGGGTGCCCGTCTTGGGAGCACTGGGTGACAGCACCCATGGTGGTCAGGTCTGGCTGTTCTGCATACATACTGTGGATGCTGCTGCAGGAGCTGTAGTATACCCCGATACCAAAGGTCTTCACTTGCAGGGGATTTCTTGAACACCTGCCCGGTAGACACTTTGCCCTGAACACTTTTTCTTCTTTAGTTGAAATAGAAAGTACCAGAAGCGGGGCTTGGCAACAATTTGCTTAGGCTCAGAGATTCACTGGCAGTAGAGGGGCAGCATGTGGCACTTGAGGGTGGGGAGGCAGCGAATACTCTCGCAGTGTGCCCAAGGCTTTCATGGCATTCTCTCAGTGCTTGCCACCACTTATAAAAAAAGTGCCGTCTTTCCGATTTTTAATTTTGTAAAGAAGCCTGCATTCTGTTTTCCATAGTGGCTGCACCAGTTTACAGTCCCATCAAGAGTGTGTAAGTGCTCCCTCTCCACATCCTCTCCAGTACTTGCTTCCTTTCGTCTTTTTGATAATAGCTGTTGTAACTGGAGGGAGGGATGTCTCATTGTGGTTTTGAAATTTCCCTGAAGATTTGTGACGTTGGACATTTTTTCATATACCTGGTGGCTGTGGTATGTCATCTTTTGAGAAATGTCTGTTGAGGTCTTTTACCTGTTTTTAAATCTGGTGTTTTTGTTTTTTTTTTTTTTTTTTTTTTTTGGCTGTTGTTTAAGTTCCTTATATATTCTGGATATTAGCTCCCTGTCGGATGGATAGTTTGCAAATATTTTCTCCCATTCTGTAGGTTGTTTCTTCACTCTTAATTGCTTCCTTTGCTGTGCTGCAGAAGTTTTGATGAAATTTCATTTGTCCATTTTTGCTTTTGTCATCGGTGCTTTTAAAGTCTTTAGAAAAACCCTTGCTCAGCCCAGTGTTGTGAGGCATTTCTCCTATGTTTTCTTCTAGTAGTTTCATAGTTTCAGGTTTTACATTTAAGTCTTTAATCTGTTTCGGGTTAAGTTTTGCATGTGGGGAAAGGTAGGGGTCTGCTCTCCTGCACATGGATATCTGATTTTCCCAGCACCGTTTATTGAAGAGATTCTTTTTCCCTGTGTGTGTTCTCGGCACCTTTGTTGAAAATCAGTTGGCTCTAGGTGCATGAATTTATTTCTGGGCTCCCTGGTCTGTTCCATTTTGTCTGTTTTTATGCTGTACCATACTGTGCGGTTACTGTTAGAGCTTTCTGTAGTATAGTTTAAAGTCAGGTAATCTGATACGTCCAGCTTCGTTCTTTTTGCTCACGATTGCTTTAGTCATCTGGGGTCTTTCGTGGTTCCATACGAATTTCAGGATGGTTTTTTCTATTTCTGTGAAGAATGCCATTGGGATTTTCATAGAGATTGCGTTAAATGTGTAGATTGCTTTGGGGATTTTGATAATATTCTTCCAATTTGTGAATGAACACAGAATATCTTTCTATTTTTTTGTGTCCCCTTCAACTTCTTTCATCGATGTTTTATGGTTTTCAGTGTAGAGATCTTTTACCAGCTTGGTTGAATTTATTCCTAGGTATCTTATTTTTTTGGTAGCTATTGTAAATGGAATTTTTTTTCTTAAACGGACTCTTGCTCTGTTGCCCAGACTAGAGTGCAGTGGCTCGATCTTGGCTCACTGCCGCCTCTGCCTCCCGGGTTCAAGCAATTCTCCTGCCTCAGCCTTCTGAGTAGCTGGGATTACAGACGTGCGCCACTGTGCCTGACTAATTTTTTTTTGTATTTTTAGTAGAGACAGGGTTTCGCCATGTTGGCCAGGCTGGTCTCGAACTCCTGACCTTGTGATCTGCCCACCTCGGCCTCCCAAAGTGCTGGGATTACAGATGTGAGCCACTGTGCCTGGCTGGAATTGTTTTCTTGATCTCCTTTTCCAGTGGTTCACTATAGCATATAGAAATGCTGTTTTTTATACGTTGATTTTTGTATCCTACAACTTTACTGAATCCGTTTATTAGTTCTTTTTTTTTGGTGGAGTCTTTAGAGTTTTCTGTATATGAGATCTTATTATCTGTAAACAGGGATAATTTGACTTTCTTCTTTCTAGTTGGGATACTTTTTATTTCTTTCTGTTGCCTAATTGCTCTGGCTATGACCTCCAGTTGAATAAAAACGGTCAAAGTAAGCATCTTTTCCTTTTTCCTGATATTAGAGGAAAGACTTTTCCCTTGGAGTATGCTGTTAGTGATGGGTTTGTTATAGGGAATTCCCACTAGCATCAACGCTGCATCGGAAAGGCCTAGAGGACACAGTGAGGAGGGGTTGGATAGGAGAAGCATAGCGGTCAAGAGAAATGAACCACTCATTGAGCACTGACTCTTCTTGTGTTGGGATTGGGTTTTTTGGGACTGCAGCATTCTTTTATACAGCAAAATGCAAGAGCCTGGAGCTGTGCTGGATGTGGTGGGTGCTTGGCTCCAAGACCCAGCCAACCAAGACCTTCCAGAGTATGGAGCCTTGGCGGAATTCCACGTGCAGCGGGTGCTGCTGCCTCTGGGCCGCTTGTCGGAGGCTGAGGAGCTGGTGGTGGGCTCTGCAGCCTTTGGTGAAGCACAGCGACTGGATATACTTCAGGCCATTGACACAGCGAGGCAGCGGCAGGGACAGGAACACTCAGGCTCTGAGGAGGCCCCGAAGCCAAACCGGGAAGGTAGGACATTATCCCTCTGTGACCTCTGTGAAGTGGAGTCGTGGGCTTGCCCTGTACCTCGGGGATCATCGGGAAACTCCTGGGAGCTTAGGAGCAGTTCTTTATATGAATAACTCTTGAATCACAGAAGAGGAAGCCTGTTGAGTTGCTTAACAAAGTGAAGCCCAGGCCCTCTGAAGTTGGCCTTGGAAGGTGTTGCTGGGTCTTGGGACCTTGACTTGTCTTTTGAAAGTCATTTTCCCCTTGGAGTCCTCTGACTGGGCCTCTTGCTTCTATCATACTGGCCTGGGTGGGATGTCCTTCCTCCTTTAAATGCTGGCCCCAAAACAAACACAGCTGAGATCTTGTGGGATACGAAAGGAAAATAAGAAACTCATTTGGTACCTTGGTAACTTGACTTACAAGACAAAAATGACACCTCTTCAGCTTGCCCAGCCTCCTCTCTGCCCTCCCCAGAGCTCTTGAACATTCTCTTCAATGATTGATGTACACCTTGCCTGCTAGAGTGCAGTTTTCCAAGGTGGCCTCTAGGGGAAAACCGCGTCAAGACCCATACTGTATGCCTGGCTAGCATGATGCAAGGTGGTGTGGGGTGGTGCAGGGGGAGTGTGGGGATTGTTGTGCTCCGAGGGGACTTTTTTTTTTGAGATGGAGTCTCACTCTGTCACCAGGCTGGAGTGCAGTGGCAAGATCTTGGCTTACTGCAACCTCTGGCTCCCTGGTTCAAGCGATTTTCCTGCCTCAGCTTCCTCAGTAGCTGGGACTACAGGCGTGCGCCACCACACCCAGCTAATTTTCGCATTTTTAGTAGAGACGGGGTTTCACCATGTTGGGCAGGATGGTCTCCATCTCTTGACCTCATGATCCGCCCTCCTCAGCCTCCCAAAGTGCTGGGATTACAGGTGTGAGCCACTGTGCCCAGCCAACCCGAGGGGACAGTAAAGGTCTTCTGCTGCAGACCCTTTCCCTGGTCCCTGAATCCTTTCCGCCCTTTTCCTTGAGTGATGATCTAGTGTAGTTGTGAATACTTCCAAGGACAGAAAGTCACCATCTCTTGAACCAGCACTTTCCGACTCTGGATAGCTCCGTGGGGAATTCTTTCTAATGTTGAATTTCGGCTTTTCTCCTGGTAGTTTTTACTCACTGACCCCTGTTTTTTCTCTTGCCAGCATACAGAATAGGTCTGTTCCATTTTTGTTCTTTTTTACGCGAAAGCCCTTCTGCTTAATGAGGAGACTGGATCCAAAGTGTTTTTCTTTGTGTGCTTCAGCGCATGAACCTGCCGAGACACAACGACTTCTTTGCAAGCAGGTTGTTGGCTCCAGGGGCTGCTTGTGGCTCCCCAGCCTTCTATCCTGCACCTACTGGGGAGGGGAAGAGGGTGTTTGATGGCAGTTCCGGGTGCTCTGTCTGGACTGGGCGTCACTTGTTCTTAGGTTGGTAGTGTTCGTGTTTATATTCACAGTCCCAGACTTGTGAATTCTTCACTGTATGTATTGCCCTTCATTTCTCTGCATTGATGTGATAATCAGAAGTATTGCTCTGTATAACTGTCTGCATGCACCTGAGGCCAGAATATAAAGAATGCTATGAAATAATGCTGGGTGTAGTGCTATATGCCTGTAGTCCCAGATTCTTGAGAGGCTGAGGTGGGAGGATCGCTGTACCCAGGAGTCCTGGGCTGTAGTAATTGGGGGTGCTACACTAATTGGGGGTCTGCATCAATATGGTGACCTCCCAGGAGCAGAGGACCACTGGGTTGCCTACAAGTGGGTAAACTGGCCAAGGTCATAAATAGAGCAGGTTAAAACTCCTGTGCTGGCCAGGCGCCGTGGCTCACGCCTGTAATCCCAGTACTTTGGGAGGCCAAGGCAGGCAGATCACGAGGTCAGGAGATAGAGACCGTTCTGGCCAACATGGTGAAACCCCATTTCTACTGCAATACAAAAAATTAGCTGGGCGTGGTGGCGGATGCCTGTAGTCCCAGCTACTCAGGAGGCTGAGGTAGAGGAATTGCTTGAACCCGGGAGGCGGACATTTCAGTGAGCCGAGATCCTTGCCACTGCACTCCAGCCTGGTGGCAGAGCGAGACCCTATCTCAAAAAAAAACCCCAAAAAACCAAACTCCTGTACTGATCAGTAGTGGCATCGTGACTGTGAAAAAAATGAGACCATTAAAAAAACACTAAATATGCCAGATTTACCCAGTAGATAGGTGTTGCCTGTCAAAGTCCTAAAGTCCTCTACTAAAGAGATGATAGTATAGTGATGTGATCTGTCTTTCAAACATTTTTGGGGACCTTTGGTATTTCCTTTAGAGCTACTTGATGAGCTCTGTGAGAAAATATTTCTTAGTCCCTTTTGCTCAACTGCTTTTTTTTTTTAAGTAAAAGTTTTTTTTTCCTTGTACTACAAGTGCCCTTTTTAAATTTTGAAAGTATTTTATATTTCTCCGTTCACTTTTTTTTTTTAATAACACGATGCTTTTTATGTATTTCAGATCTTGTTCTGAAAGGTTTTAAAAAACTTTTACAAAGATATATTGAATATTGTAAATAATAAATACTCAAAATAAGTAATATGCTTAAGGAAAACAATTTATATGCATGAGATTTGCAAGAGTATCTGCAGTTAAGGCACGGAGGCTTTAGCCAATACTTAATACCCTTTTGCTCAGCTCTTAAAAGCAAGTGCAGAGGTCGGGGTCCAGGAAACTGACTCCCCTGACTTTCCTGACGCCGTACTCTGTCTCCCGGTCAGGCTCTGTGTCCCACAAGTTCCTGTCACTACCGATGTTGGTTCGCCAGCTTTGGGACTCTGCGGTGAGCCACTTCTTTTCTCTGCCCTTCAAAAAGAGCCTCCTGGCTGCCTTGATCCTCTGTCTCCTGGTGGTGAGGTTGGATCCAGGTAAGTGGTAGAGACTCGTGCCCCATCCTTCCTGGGAAGGGTCCTTGTTGGGGCTGGGCCTGTGGGAGTGGGTGCTTGTCACTACACCTGTCAGAGTCCTACTGGGGATGGGGGTCTCTCCTGTGCCATTTCCCCCTGAGTCAGTTCCACAAGGAGGAATTGCTGGACTGGGCATGAGTCAGCCCCACCTGGAAGGAGAGACCAGCCCTGGAATCTGTGAGAGCAGCCGAGAGAAAGTCCACTCAGCCCGCTGACTCCTGGACGCGGACTGAGTCGTAGCCTTCCGATTTTTTCTGGGCTGAACTCTGACTGGAACCTCAGAATTTAAAAAAAACTTCCCCTCATCAGAATGTCACAAAAGTGTGAATTCGAGTGTTAATGTCTAACGAAGCATTCATTCAAAACAAGTTGTAAATGAAATACTCATACATTTTAGAAAATGTGGAAAATAGGCTGGGTGCGGTGGCTCACACCTGTAATCCCAGCACTTCGGGAGGCCTAGGTGGGTGGATCACCTGAGGTCAGGAGTTCAAGAACAGCCTGGCCAACATGGTGAAACCCCGTCTCTACTAAAAATACAAACCTAAACCAGGTGTGGTGGTGCATGCCTATTATCCCAGCAACTCGGGAGGCTGAGACAGGGAGAATTGCTTGAACCCAGGAGGGGGAGGCTGAGACAGGGAGAATTGCTTGAACCCAGGAGGGGGAGGCTGAGACAGGGAGAATTGCTTGAACCCAGGAGGGGGAGGTTGCAGTGAGCTGAGATTGTGCTGTTGCCCTCCATCCTGGGCAACACCCATAATCCCAGCACTTTGGGAGGCCAAGGCAGGTGAATCACCTGAAGTCAGGAGTTCGAGACCAGCCTGGCCAACATGGTGAAACCTGTTACCTACTAAAAATACAAAAATTAGTTGGGCGTGGTGGCATGTGCCTATAGTCCCAGCTACTCTGGAGGCTGAGGCAGGAGAATCACTGAAGCCCGGGAGGCGAAGGTCGCAGTGAGCTGAGATCACACCACTGCATTCCAGCCTGGGTGACAGAGTGAGACTCTGTCTCAAAAAAATAAAATAAAAACCGTACTTTGGCCCAGCAGGCCAGGTGTGGTGGCTCACATCTGTAATCCCAGCACTTTGGGAGTCTAAGCAGGAGGATCACTTGAGCCCAGGAGATGGAGGCTTCAGTGAACTGAACACAGACTGCACTGTACCCCAGCTTAGGGGACAGAGTGAGACCCTGTCTCAAAAACAAACAAACAAAAAACAAATGCGTAATTGCAAGGCAGTGGAGTCTCCCAGGGTGGGAGATGGCAGAGTGACAGGCTGGAAGGGCAGGACGTTCACAGTAGTCTCTCTCTGCCCTGCAGCTTCCCCTTCCTCCCTGCCCTTCCTCTACAAGCTGGCCCAGCTCTTCCGCTGGATCCGGAAGGCTGCATCTTCTCGCCTCTGCCAGCTCCGCATCCGTGACTGAGGGTCCCCTTGCACCACAGCCTCCCTGCTCCTCAAGTCTGCGGCAACAGAAGCGGAGTGACAGAGCGATGCATCCACAGGTGCCCCTGGGGAAGTAGGGCCAGCCTCATCTCGTGGGGTGCACTGTCTTGCTGCCTGGGTACCCTCTCCTTTGCACCCCACTTTGGCTGGCCATAGTAGGTGACATGGAAACAAATAGGGACCAGCAGGCACAGTTCCTTCAGAACAGTTCTCCGGACACCCAGAGGCTCCTTGAAAAGGAGGGGTTTGGGGACAGGGACTGTGTCTATGAAACGTTCCATCTTCTCCGCGAAGGCAAGGGGTTTGTTCTTTAGGCCAGGATATTAATGGAGCTGGAAGTTCAGAAAAAGCCTGGTAGAGTGACACTTGGCCTTTCACTTCTTCACAAACATACCTCTTTACTGTGCGTGGTGGCTCACGCCTGTAATCCCAGCACTTTAGGAGGCGAGGCAGGTGGATCACTTGGGGCCAGGAGTTCAAAACCAGCCTGGCCAACATAGTGAAACCCCGTCTCTACTAAAAATACAAAAATTAGCCAGGCGTGCTGCATGCCTGTAGTCCCAGCTACTCGGGATGCTGAGACACGAGAACTGCTTGAGCCAGGGAGGCAAAGATTGCAGTGAGCTGGGATTGTGCCACTGTACTCTCTCAAAACGAAAAACCATGCCCCTGAGAGTCACCCCACAGGACAGTACCTTAATTAGCTAGAGTGCGATCTGAGAGGGCCTCTTCCTGCCTGCACTGCGCTCCCCAGAACTGGTCTAATTCTGTATCAATATGCTGTTCTCATGGTCTTGCTATGTGCTTGAAGCTGCGTAAGGCTTCTCACTGTTCGGGCTGGGGCGAGACTTTCAGAACCACTCGGCTGACAACTGAAAACCAAGTGAGCCTTACAGCTCTTATCACTGGGGAAAGTGATCTTGCCTGGTGCATCTTGGTCTTCAGCTCGATTTTCCAGGCTGTCCTGGCCAAGCCCTGCTCTGTTACACTCTGTGCCTCTGCCCGTCTTTCCCCGCCAGCCTCTCCCGCCCCCACTGCAAACTTGTCCATTGGCTATTTCACCAAGTCCTGCCTGTATCCTTGCCTCCTTGGTATACACCGTTGCAGGTCCCCACCCCCTTTTTTTGTGCCTTTGTCCTAGTTATGTTCTGTTTGCGTAATGCCCAAATTTTTCTGCTCGTGTGGCCTTGAAAAGTAGGCCAGCCTCAGAGGCTGCTGAGCTGAAAATGGAACTGAGTAATCGGGTGAGCTGGAAGGGATGTGGGGGGCGGGGCAGAGGGGAGACATGGGTTTTGAAGGCAGTGAACAGTAAAACCTTAGGGAGGCGGCACGGCACTGAGGCCTTTGCATTAGAGGAGTGACATGTTTTAGCGTAGTTTTCTCATCAGCCAGAAGCATCTTACGAGTTTCTGTGCAAGGAAGCGTAGTGCACTGAACACTGTCAGGATGAAGAAGGGCTTCCCGCAGGGGCTGGCCTTTCTGTAGCCAGAGGCCAAGCAGGCTGCCCTGCACCGGGTCCTTGGTTGGTGGTGATGCCAAAAATATAGAAGGTGCTTGCTAGCTTTCCATTGGTACATTTTCAGGGGTTGCAAGTCAAGAACTTCTCTTTAGAAAAATGGGTAAAGTAAGCAAACTTCACAGGCCCCTTGGAATTAAATCCCTAGGGCATGGTTCAAGTCTGTAGGAAGCAAATCTATGCTTTATATGGGCATTTCAGTAGAGCTTAGAACCCTGGGGGGATAAAGGCAGTCAGGTGAGGGTTGAGATTCCTTCTATAGAATGATTTCTTACAATGAAATTCTGGGCCCACTTGCTAGCCTAGATAAAATGCTTCAGTGGCCTCCCGTAGCTCACAGGATAAAACCCAGATTCTTTATGGAATTGAAGGCCCTTATGTGATGGGTTTGGCTAATGCCTCCCCCTTGATGTGGGGCCCCTTATATGCATGGCCATCCAGCTGCCCGGCCATCACCGCTTTCTGACCACGGCACGGTCCCCTGGGGCCTCTGTGCCTTGGCTCATGCTGTGTCTGCTGAAGGCCTAGCACCTGCTCTTGGCCTGGTGAGCCCCTCCACCTTCCATGCTTACTCAAATAATCCTTTCCACCCCTCCTGTGTCCAGGGCCCTGTTTCATATCCCTTTTGCAGTAGTGACCCCATGGCCTTATAATTGTGAACTTCTTTGGTGCCCCTTCAAAGCTGGGGAGTGCTCGTTGCAGTGTGCAAGTCAGTGTCAGATCCATTCTGTGCCACGTGTCCCTGTTGGGAAGTAATTTAACCTTCTCAGCCCCGGTGTCCTCATCTGTAAGTTCTTATAGGGTTTTTTAGGTGAGCAAATGAGATTGTGCGTGTGATGCACCCCGAGTAGGAGCTTTTATGAGTGGTCACTGTCCTGGGAGCAGCAGTGTCTCCCGCGCCCATTGGGTGTCTGGGAGGGGGAAGGTGCTCAGGTGTCTAAAGGAGTGGATTTATGTAACTGACACACCAAGAGGTATGCGTACTTTGGTGAGTCTGAGATTTCGTGTTGTGAAAGCCGCGAAGGTAGAGACGCCCTGATGATCCCCACCTTGTTTCCGCGCGGCCTGAGGTTCCCTGTGTTCTCGTAGGGTTGCAGCTTCTCTGTGTGTCTGTCTTGCACTCCTCAGTGCTGTCGGGTAACCAGTCCCAGCTGCCTGCCTCGTCAGGCACGGAACTCAGAACCCAAACCGCTCCTGTGACCTTGACCTTTTCCAAGGACGTGGGCTGGTGCTCGTATCCGACCTCAGCTCTGGGCCTCACGGGGTCCAAGGCGAAGGGATTGCTTTCCTGTTAGACTCACACCTGCACTGTCCAAGGCAGCAGTCATTCATTAGGTGGGGCTTTTGAGCTCCTGACAGGTGGCTAGTCCAGGTTAAGATGTTCTGCAAAATGTAAATGGCAGATTTCGAAGACTTAGTACTAAAAAGAAGAATGGATTTTTTTATATTGATTGCCTGTTAAAATGATATTTTAGATATGCTGTGTTAAGTAAAATATTAAAATTAATTTCATCTGCTTCTGTTCACTTTTTTTGTGGTGCTACCAGAAAGCTTAAAATTACCTGTGTGCCTTGCATTCCATTTCTGTTGGACAGGGCTGTCCAGCACATACAGCGCACATCAGTGAGGCCTGAGGGGACGGGGGGGATGTTGCCAGATGTGACATCTGGGAGATCATCCCTTGCAGCTCCCTCCTCTTTCATTTGAGGACATGAACACCTCCACGTCACACAGCCTGAATAAGACTGCTGTCTCCCGGCCCTCGGGTCTGGTATTCCTTTAACCACATCTCACTTTCCTCACTTATCCTATTCTGCCTCACTCGCCCTAAAATTCCTCGCTTTCTGTCACTCCTGGCCCGAAGTTCACTGTTAATATGCAGATGCATCCAGGTGGGGTGGGTAATCTGCATATTAACAGCGGATTCGTTCACTTTACATTTAGGCGTGCTGAGGGAAGCAGGAACCAGCAATCCTCTCCTGTGATCTCATGGGAGGCAGGGAGGGGTGGAATGGAGAGGAAGCATTAGGCCACTGCTGGCCAGCACGGGGTGGAGGTGGGTGGCAGCAGGACAGTAGTGCCTGGGGAGGGCGGAGGGTTTACCTCTAGAACGGGGCTGGAAGGATGAGGAAGTAGTTTATAGCTTTGTGCAGGTGATCCCCGTTCTTCTGCATGTATGTGTTTACACACGAGTATGTAGACCAGAGACCATTAAAATAGATGGAATTCAGCCAGGCGCTGTGGCTCACGCCTGCAATCCCAGCACTTTGGGAAGCCGAGGTGTGTGGATCATGAGGTCAGGAGATGGAGACCATCCTGGCCAACATGGTGAAACCCCATCTCTACTAAAAATATGAAAATTAGCTGGATGTGGCAGCGCATGCCTCTAATTCCGGCTACTTGGGAGGCTGAGGCAGGAGAATCACTTGAACCCGGAAGGTGGAGGTTGCAGTGAGCTGAGGTCACACCATTACACTCCAGCCTGATGACAAAGCAAGACTCCATCTCAAAAAAACAAAAAACAAAAATATGGAATTCAAAAGTTACAAAAAGGCTTTTCATGGAAAGGAAAGCTTTTTTTTTTTTTTTTTTTAAAGTCTTACTACGTTGCCCAGCTGGACCTGCACTCCTGGGCCCAGGCAATCCTCCCTACTCAGCTTCTGGAGCAGCTGGGCCTGCAGGGGTGCGCCGCCACACCCAGCTAACAACACCTTTTTCTACTCTGACTCCATTTCCCAGTTTCCTCCCCAGGGGCAGCCCCCGCCAGTCTATTTATCCCTCCAGGTGGTGTCTGGTAGTAAGCTTTTCTTTCTCATACGCAAATGATAGTAGTCACACACACGATACACACTGTGCTGCACTTTTTTTAACTGTCTCGACTGGGTGTGGTGGCTCACACCTGTAATCCCACCACTTGGAGAGGCTGAGGTGGGTGGGTCACCTGAGATCAGAAGTTGGAGATCAGCCTGACCAACATGGTGAAACCCGAAACCCAGCCTCTACTAAAAATATAAAACAGTTGGGTGTGGTGGTGGGCTCCTGTAACTCCAACTTGGGAGGCTGAGGCAGGAGAATTGCTTGAACCCAGGAGGCGGAGGCTGCAGTGAGCCGAGATCGTGCCACTGCACTCCAATCTGGGCAACAAAGGGCAAGACTTGGTCTCAGAAACAAAACAAAAAATCAAAAGAACCTTCCTCAGTCCCAGCACATGTGGAGCGGCCTCATTCTTTATAGCTGTGTGTCATTCCATTGCAGGGTAGGGTCACAGCACAGACCTAGCGCCCCTTTCTTTTTGATATGTGGAAACCCCTCCACTCTTTGCAAAGCCCAGAAGCACAGCAGCCCCAGGTTTAAGGTGAACAGGAGTGGTCAGAGCTCTTTACTGTTACTTTTGGGCAAACACAAAGCAGGCTGGAAGCCACCACTGCCAGGGCCGGGAGATCAGAGCAGGCCAGTTCACACTCTGGACATGCAGTTTCTTTCTAAATCCGGAATGGCACTCAGGTGGCCTCTGTCGTCCACTTAAAGCAGCCTAGGAAAATGTCAGAAAGAGAAAATGACATGAACCGCGAGTAGGGCACCTCCCTGTGCTGTCACCTCCCTGTGCTGTCCCCCGCTTTCCTCCCTCCCAGCACGGAAAAGCCATGGGGTTGGTGGACTTTGGCCTCGCACCCACAGATGGGGCCTGCGGGAATTCTACTGACTTACTCTCTGGCCTGGTCCAGCAAGCCGCCCGCGGCCTGGCCAAGCTCTGCCTTGCCTCCCTGGCCTAGCACCCTTTGGAACTGAATACGTGGAGTGTTAACCAGAAAAATGTCTGGGCCTTTTGCCTCACTCCCTCTGGAAA